CTCTCTCTCTCTCTCTCTCTCTCTCTCTCTCTCTCTCTCTCTCTCTCTCTCTCTCCCTCCCTCTCTCCCTCTCTTTCTCTCTCACTCTAACTCTCTTTCTCTCTCTCCTTTCTTCTCTCTCACTCTAACTCTCTTTCTCTCTCTCCTTTCTTCTCTATCCCTTATCCCTATCTTTATCTCCCTTTACTATTTACGCAATCTAACCCTCTCTTCTCCACAGGTTTACTTCACTGGCCTCACGGGCTTCATAAAATTCGATGCCCTAGGATTTCGCACCGATTTTGCCCTTGACATTGTGGAACTTGGCATGCAAAATCTCACTAAGGCAAGTAATTGTGGTCATTAGTTTAGTGTGATTTTAAGATATAATCTAAGATATTTTGAGAGATATTTCTTTTTATTATATTTAGGATGTTTTTCATTTCCTTGGGTTTTGATTTTTTTTTTTCTTTTGTGTGTTTTTTCATTTCCTTGGGATTTGATTTTTTCTTTTCTTTTTCGCGGAATTTCCTTCGTGGCTAATATTTAGTTGTTTTTATTTTCTCTCTCTCTTTCTTTCTAGCTATGTTTATTATATAATCTTGCATTTATATCACCTTAGGTTCAGTATTAGTAATTTTTCTTTTCTTTTTCTGGTTCAACCGTTATTCTCTAGTCTTTTCCATCTCCCATTTTCGCAATCTCTTCTCGGATTCTTTATATGATCATCGCGCCATTTCGCTTCCCTCTTCTTATTTTTTCTCCATTTCTATTTAGAAGAAAAAAAAAAGATATATCCATAGATAGATTAGATATATATCGTTATGACGTCCTTCCTTCCGTCCGTCTTGTAAATACAAGTAGTTTGGTAGAGTAAGAGAAAGAAAAAAAGAAAGACAGAAATAGAAAGAAAGAAAAAAACATTTATATGAATCATCCCTGTCGCCTAACACGCTCTTTTATCTCTCTCTTTCCACTGTAGTTCGGACACTTCCTCAAAGTAAGAATCACCACTTAACATTTTAGTCGTACCTTTTGTGTTCGTTCATGATTCCCTCCCCCTCCCCCCTCCCTCCTCCCTCCCCTTTTACCCCTTCCCTCCCTTCCCCTTCTGTACCTGCTACCCCTTCCCTTCCCTCCCTACCCACCCACCCCCTCCCTCGTTCCCTCTCCCTTAGCTTTTTAATTTTCAAGCAGTTCGTTTGTTTTAATTATCATTTTTTTATTTAGAAAACACGAGTGCATAGAATTATAGATTAGATATGATTAAGGTTGTATATATATACTCTTACTGTGATAATCTCCCTCCCCTCCCCCCTTTATCCCTTATATTGATAAATAATTCACGTTTATTTTTTGCACATTTGTCAGTTATCAATGGTATTATTCCTTCACTTTTACACTGTAATAATTTTTTAAAAATCCTTCACAGTATTTCCCTTATGCACTAGGCCTACTTGCACACAGCCTAGAGGAACGGTAGCAGATTATTTCCTTTTCTTTATCACCTTGTAAGATATTCACGCTTTTATAGCACCCTTTTCTTGCTTATATTAAATTAAAGGGAAGGATGCTTTCCAATATCATTCTATTGTCATATCAAATTTTCTAACCCGTTTACAAGATTACTGAAGTTTGTCCATCGGATTAGAAATACGTTTTCTTTCAACACATAATTTCAACGTGAAACTTTAGAACGAAATAACGTTGGTAAACTTTATTGGTGTATTTGCTAAGGGAAAAATGTTTATCGAGAGCTTATTGTAGTGATGAAAATGTAATGATGTACATTGATATGTTTGATATCTAAAGTTCATTTACATTTTTTCTTTTTCTTTTTTTGATAGTATGTCTTAGAGACAATTTTTAAAATCTTTTTTGTGCTTTCTATAGACAATGTATAAAAGTACAAAAATTCTTGATGATTTAGTCTTAAATGAATGCAACAAAGATTGATAAAGTGATCATGATAATGCCTACGAATGCCGATCACTTCATCATTTGTTAATTACGGAAATTATATAAACTGCATGACACCTGATTCTGTAAATAAAAACACCTTTTCCTCAATAACCCAACAGTTACCAAGATCTTCATACTACCACCCTCTTCACAGTTTTACAAATATATTAAAAACAAAAAATACTCAGTAACTTTAAATTTTCCTTATCCGAATTTTTCAGAGGAAGAGGAGACCGGAAGTGGTAGATGAGAGGGGGGGGGCGAGGATTTCTGCCCCCCCCCATTTTGCTCTCCCTTTTCCCTTGAATTAAACTTCTTTATAAGTCACTTCATCCTCCCTTCCCTCCCCCATCCCCTAATGATAATAATTATGGTGATAATAGTTAATTGATTGATGTTGATAATGATAATGAGAATAATAAGTTCATAATAATAATAATTACTATAATAATAATAATAATGATAATAATAATAATAATAATAATAATAATAATAGAAATAATAACGATGGTAATAATGATAATGATAATACTAATGATAATGATAATAATAATGATAATAATGATAATGGTAATAGTAATAATAATAATAATAGTAATAGTAATAATTATTATGATAATAATAATAATAATGATAATAATAATAATAATAATAATGATAATAATAATGACAATAATTATAATGATAATAATAATAATAATAATAATAGTAATAATAATAATGATAATAATAAAAGCAATAATGATAATTATTATAATAATAGTGGTAATTATCATAATATGAATAATAATGATAATGATAACAATGATAATGATAACGATCATAATAATAATAATAACAACAATAATGATAACAACAAAAATAATGATAATTATTATTATTATAGTAATAAGGCTAATAATAATAATAATGATAATAACAATGATGGTAATAATGATAATAACAATAATAATAATAATAATGATAATAATAATAACAATAATGATAATAATAATAACAATAATAATAATGACACTAATTATAATGATAATAATAATAATAATAATAATAATAATAATAATAAGGATAATAATAATAATAATAATGATAATAATAATAATAATAGCAATAATAATAATAATAATTATAATAATAGCGATAATCATAACTGCACACGCTACACAGACACCCCCCCCCCTCACCATTTCCCCTTCTCATACCCCTCCTTTCTCCTCCTCCCTCACACCCCCACACTCCCACAGTCCCCCTCACCCATCTTCAATAACCTCCTCCTGCTCCCCATACCCCACAGTCCCCCACACCCACCCACATACCTTCCCCACACTCCCCCCACACCCACTTCTCGATACCCCCACTTTACCCCCACATCCGCCCGACACACACACTACCCCACACACACCCACACCCACTTCCCGATACCCCCACACACCCCCACTTCCCGATACCCACCCACACCCCCACACCCACTTCCCGATACCTACCCACACACTTCCCGACACCCACCCACACCCCCACACCCCCACACACCCCCACACTCACCTTCAATAACCTCCTCCTCCCGATTCGCTGACAGGCCGGCACGTGGAGACTGGACACGGGCGCCAACTACACGAGGACCTTCCAGGAGACGCTGAAGAAGGTGGTCGACGGATTGCAGAACAAGACCCTCGTCGTGTCCGTGGCCTTTGTGAGAAATGGCGTGGATTTTCCTTTTTTTCTTTGTTTACTTGTGTTTGTTTTTCTTTTTATGTTTTGTTTTTCTTGTTTTTCTTTACTTTCTTTGTGGATTTTTTTTTTGGTTGGTTTTTGTTGTCGTTGTTGATTAGATTGTAGATTTTTTTTTTTTACTTTTTTTTCTTTCCTTTGGTTTAGTCTGGATATATATATTTTTTTTTTTTTTTTTTTGAGAGTGTTTCTTTATCTGATTTTGTGGTGTTTGTTTTTGTTTTTAATTTGTGATTGGCCGGATGTTTTTTGTTGTTGTTGTTGCTGTTCTCTCTCTCTCTCTCTATCTATCTATCTATCTATCTATCTATCTATCTATCTATACACACACACACACACACACACACACACACACACACACACACACACATATATATATATATATATATATATATATATACATATATATATATATATATATATATATATATATATATATATATATATATATATATATATATATATAGTGGCCGTAAAAAAAAAACATTTGGAGGAGAATTAACCGTAAACAGTTCGTTTGTTTAACTAATAATGTGTTTTCACATGTTATAGTAGGCTAAGACATCACCTTAGACTTGATCATCGTGTCTGACCTTGGAAAAGTCTTCCTTGGTGCTCCAAAACCAAAACTTTTTACTTCGCCTGCTAGTGTGGCAGCTGACTTTTCTGGCTATGAATTGCCTGTCTTGATTCTTCCATATCGGCAGATACGCTAGAGACAAGTGCTGTTCTAATAATCTTAGACAATGTGTTTTTTGTGTAATATTAGTTGTCTTCGCCCCTACATTATTAGGCTAAACTGGAATATGTTTAATCATACATCTATCGTAGACTTTTGATCAACTTTTGGCGGGAAGCCAGGACCAATGGCTGGTCATACTCGCAACAGAAAACCCCGTCCGTGCGGAGATGCCTGACTTCGCTGGATGAACATTCTTAATTTTTGCGTTGAATATGTAAAAAAAAAAATTGCGGCCACTGCATGTGTGTATATCTACATTCATACATATTTATATATATACATATTTATATATGTATGTATATGTTATATATATACATATATACACTTAAAGGAATAGTCCAGAGGGTAGTAGAATGTGTTTTTACTTTATTTGTAAAATAAATAATCTAAATAAACATCCCAAGGCATCATTTTGTAAATTTATTCACAACGCTAGACTTTATAGCCTTTTTTATCTAGCATTTTTGCTCCTGAAATCCGTCTGCTACAAAATGTTGCCGGTGGCGCCTCCATACGGGTGTGACGTAGTACCGTGTATATGGGTCAGGAGATTAGCCATTATTGTGCATTTATTGTGACAAATTTCAATGTC